CACATTTTTCACAGACGATAAAAAATTAAAATGCATAATAAATTAACCAGTATTTATTAAATGAGAATGCCAATTATTTATCTAATCCCTTCTTCCAATCTTCTCATATTCTCCCTCCATATGAGTAAATTTTTGGGTCTATAGCAATATCCCGACACACTAGGTATCCTGGACACTCGCCCCAACTGCCCCTATATACAATATCCCGACACGATAAGTATCCAGGATACGCGCCTCAACAGCCCCTATATACAATATCCCGACACGATAAGTATCCTGGATACGCGCCCCAACAGCCCCTACATATTTGTGTTGTCAGGCTTACAACACACACACAAAGAAATCCATACCCACACACAAAAAATACTGACAAATATATAAATACGATTATCGCGCGTGGCGAATACGATTTTAAAGTGAAACATTCATCACAGTGTTTCCGGATTCGTGATGAAAACTTGGTAAGTTTGTACACAAAAAAAAACATGAATGAACCCTTCCTCCTAAGGACGAAACGGAAAGGGATCAAAATATTCTCATGATAAGTTGATTTTGTAATCAAAGAAAGCGATATTTCGTTTCGCACAACAGAAAATGTTTGGTATTGAAGCGGCAGACGTGACTTTTGCTGGGACCGCTGACAAGACTTTGCCAGGACTGCTGACGCATGAGCAATAAGTCAGTAGTGATATCTGAATTATGACGACGGGAGCTTGCTAAAATTCTCAGGCAGGCTTGTCGTCAGGGGCAAGAAGAAAGTCGTAAACTCAACATGGATGTTGAAGAGTCATGACTCATGAATCGTCATCGTATATTTCGTTCTGTCACTTTCATAAGTGTCACACTAATGTTGTCGCACTCATGTTGTCACACTCATGTTGTCGCACTCATGCATGTTATCACACTCATGTTGACACACTCAGGTTATCACACTCATGTTGTCACACTCATGTTGTCACACTCATGTTGTCACACTCATGTTGTCACACTCATGATGTCACACTCATGTTGTCACACACATGTTGTCACACTCATGTTGTCACACACATGTTGTCACACTCATGTTGTCACACTCATGTTG